ATTCCTCGGCTACATCTCATTCTCTTATGTGAATGTGTTTGGAATGTATCTTTTGTTATGCTTCATATTACCTGTTGCAATGCATTGTAGATCGTGAATTTTTGAAACAAAAATGCCTTTGTAAATCGTGTAAGTTCAACTTTCAAAATTTTATTTCAATTGCATATCATTTACATTTTGTCCCTGGACTATGTTGGTTTGATTCCTTGCAAAGAGATACATAGGAAACATTCGGGTTCAACCAACCTGCATTGCATTTTGTTTGTTTGCCCAAATCTTACGGCCTTGTCAAATAGGTCTGCTTCTGGTTTTGACATTCACTCACGTCAAGAAATGACTTCGAGTTCTGTCAAAGAGGGGCAACTGTAGACACCCCATTTTGACCGGTCTTAAGACTTGGGCGTTTTCTTTTGATTGCCCGATAATGAAAATAAGAATGTGTTTCTCGAATAATTCCTAGTAAGAATGATGGAATTTGTGTTTCTCGAATAAATCATGTTCAAAACTCTCTTTCGAAACTTTCTTTCTGCCCTATTTTCCAAATATTTTCGTAGTGTTCCAAGGCTCGCTTTTAGACTTCAAAATGAAACTTTTTTCTAAGGAATTTGAGCAATGAACAATATGAAAATAGGAGGAAAGAACAAGAATTCTGCTGGAAAACCCTGTTTTCCCTAAAAAGAAGAAAAATATTTCAGTGAATAATGCCGGTAAATAATGCCGATCAGCGCTATTCATGGCCGGCCGACCAAAATAGGCTGGCCGGCAGGTGTTTTGGCCAATTTTGGCCAACCGGCCAGTGTTTTTTCCGGGTAGATCGTCTTTTGGCCGGTCAGCCAAAAAAGTGGTTGGCCGGCTACTTTTCCCTGAAGCATGGCAATTTTGGCAGAATTCTTGATGAAAGTGCATAGGTCATGCCATTTTAGATATTTTCTTCATTCATACATACACGAGGTGTATCAAGGACCCCTCTATGATCCTCCTTTAGCCTCTATTGTCAAAAGTAGGTTTGTTTTCTTCCATAAGGGTGGATTCCTTTTAACCACCCTTGTCACCATCAACTTTGTCTTCAACCACCTCATTGACTAGGCATTCCATTGATTGTTGATATTCTATATGGAGAAAGAGATAGGATCAGATTAAAGAGGAAAAAGAGAATTGAATTGAGATATATATATATATATATAGAGAGAGAGAGAGAGAGAGCTTTGAGCCAAAACTTCCAAAACTCCAAAAACATACACTGATATTTCTTCTTCCACACACCAAAACCATCTCAAAGAATTCAGATATAGCCATATTCAAGAGCCTTTAATCAAAAGAGAGTGAGTGTTGTTCAATTTGAGAGAAGAACAGAGAGTTAAGGCAACTCCCCCCCCCACACAAACACAGCTAAACAACCAAAAACACCATTCGAACAACATTTTTGAATTTTCAACATGAGAATTGAGAACACACTCCCTACACTTGAAGGCGATCAAGAGGAATTTTGAAAATTGAATCCTTCCTTGGAATGTAGACTTTGCACTTTCTTTGTTTTCTAGCATTTCTTGCATTTTCTTTCTTGTATTGTTTTTTCTTGCTTCAATTTCATGTTATAAACTTGTTGTAAGCTAATTGGAAGTGGTTAGTTGAGCCACTTGCACACTTCCCATTTGTTTTTCTAGTTTTCGGAACAAAAACAGAGCATTTGGCCTAGCCTGAGTGGCTGGCCAGCCACTTAAGTAGGTGGCTGGCAGGTTTTGTGGCTAGCCGGCCACCCCTCTCTTGGACAAAATTTGGAAACTTTCCAGTGTTGCGTAGACTTGTCTCTGATGGTCTCTAAGACCCCCCGAAGCTCCTATATTTGTTGTTTTTGTTTAATTAGAGAGTGTTTGTGAGGATTTAAATTGTTGTAACATATTTTTCTCTCTTCCCCCTATTCGGATTTGTAATATTTCAAAACGATGTAATAATTCCCCAACCCCGCTTCTTTTCTATCCCGTTCTTTTATGTGCTTTCTATAATCTATACATATGCTGAATATTTTGTTTTGTCATCATATCCATACTTTGCATCCATGTTTCATGCATCTTCATTCGGCTAAGTTTGCATTTATGGATTTAATCAATTTCTATGTGATTATGTGCGCTATCTCATGTTCTTGAGATGATTCGCATGTCATATCTTATAAGCCGAATCTTTAGTTGCATCTCATGTGTGAATTGCATTAAGATTTTGTATATAAGATATGCATATTTTGCTCACTTTGTTTTGTAACTGTTTACGGGGCGTCGGTAAATATGTAAGTTTTTATACTTTAGCATCCTGCTTGTGTGCGTGTTTTTTTTTACTATGTTCTGCATCTTACCACGAGACTACTTGCTTACTTGATATAACTGTATGAATGCCGGTGGATGGAGGTTATGTCGCTTAATTTGGAATGATGTTGATTTTTCATATTTGTAAACTCAATTTCTTTAGGTTGTACATTTTCAAAACTCTTTCAAAACACATGAAATCAAGTTGTTCCAAAATAAATGGCATAGTCTATACTTGTATGCTTCACATAGCAAATTTTAGGATTTATTAAATAACCGGAATATGAACATATAAAGTCAATAAAACTTATATCATGATTTAGTAGAGACCAATCTTTGATTGGGTGAGTGAGGGTGTTCAATTAATGACTTTCCCTCCCTCATACTTAAGGTTCCGAGCCAATCATCTTTAGTTACGACGAACAGTGGCCTTGAAATGAGTTATGGGTTTCCTAATTTTCCTAAAATATTAGATGGTGACTCTAAGATCTGGTGATGTAGTCCATTTTTGACAAAGAATTTGTAATAAAATGGATTTTCTATAAAAGTTGCCAAATCTGGACTTTTAACTATGTTTCACATTGCACTCGTGAGACTAAATCGAAGCAATCGAGGGTCCGAACTATTTAACACGCACGGGTACCTCCCAGGTGATGTTATAGCAGGGAAGCCCTTAGATCCATTCTTAATCAACAGTAAGGACAACAATTGTCAGAGATAAGGACATAAGTCTAGTCTATCCAAACGACACAACCGTCCGATGATCTTAATCAGACAGACGAAGCGTTCGGTAAGTTGGCCACTAACACCTAACATAATCTAAGCCGCCCACGGCAAGATGTCCAACGACAAAGGATCAAGACAACCTAGCCACTTGCCCGACCAACGTCCAGGGACAAGCAGAGCCCTTAGATCAAGATATCAATCCAACAGCCGAAACCCAAGATAACAATATTATAAAAGAAGGAATAAGAAAGAACAAAAGGTAACTAAAACTCCCTCTTGAACAAAATACTATATGGTCGATCAGAATTTTGATTTGATTGTCGAGGAGTCCTTCCGACCATCTTTGGTCAGGAGTGATCACTGATGAATTGGTTTCTCTTTGCAAAGTAAATGAATGGGTACTTCATCTCGCTTTTCCTGTGGAGAAAATTTCTACCTTTTACATTACCTTAAACAGGACCTAATGGAATATTAAAAAACAAGATGAGTTAAATGGAACATAACATTTAGAAATATGACTTATTGAAAAATGGTCCAAAAGCATTTACAAAATACAAAAATAAAAGTTATGAATTAAAAATTTTAAAATCTAGTTTTGAAAATCCAAACTAAGCTGAGTGTAATTTTAAAATATTTTGAATAAATTACAAATACACCTCCTGATATTATTTAAAATGTAAATTGCCCTTTGTGCTTCTAAAAATTACATCTCGCCCCTTCAAATTTCTAATATCATAACAAATGAATTTTTTATTAAAAAAATTATTAAGTCAATTAATAATTTTTAATGATATCATAAATATATTTCAATTAACAATTTGGATATTCTTTCACTCTTTAGTCTTTATTTTTCCACCCTCTACTTTTTTGATATTCTTCCTAATTTAAATTCTTAATATATAATAGATTTATCATTTGAATAGGAATATGCCATTTGTTGGAGAAGTTATTGGTTGGCCTTCAAGTACCGTCACGGGGTGCTCCGTATGTGTTCTCATTGGTAATGAGGATAAAACTCATGATTTTGTATTTGGTGATTAGAAAATATGAAGACAAATTTAGCCAAAACCCCTCAATTGGACCCTTGTTTGGTGAAAATAACAAGTCCAATTTATTTTGCTTCATAAACTCCTAAGTAAGACACATAATTGAGTAAAGATAAAGTAAAATATCTTTTTTTATTTTTTCTTGGATAATATTTGCAAAGTAACATGTTATTATGAAGTAGATAACATATTACTGTCAAATAAAATAACATGTTACTGTTTACATCAATTTCAACCATAACAATAATTCTTTTTTTAAGATTTTTATAATCAATATGCATCTTATTTTATAAATTTTGATAAAAGAATTCTAAGAATACTAATTTGATTAAAAACGATCAAAAGTTGTATTATTTTAAAATTTAATATTTTAATAATAATAATAATATGTGTTAGGCTTTTTAACAATTTTTTTAAATATATATCCTTAATATATTAAAATTTTATTATAAAAAAATTTTGACTAATTTTTTAAACACGAAGAAATATAAAAATTTATAATTATCTAGAGACATAACACGTCATTCGTCTAGGCCAACTAATTAATTTTTCATTTGTTGCGTGGGAATCCTTCCGTTCAAAGCAATCTAATCTGATAAAGGTGTAGAGCTCCTATGTTAATAAAAAAGGTAAATTACACCCGCATTTTTCCCAGATTTATTTAGGAGTTGTTTAGAATGTTCTAAATAAGTGTGTTTTTTATCTTTTTACGAAAAGATATACAGAAAAGTAGAGAAGTGATGTGATCAAAAAAAAGATAAAAAGATGAATTATTTTTGAGTTGTCAAACTTGACCTTAAATTATAAATTATTTTTTATAATTTTAAAATTATTTTTAATAATATTATTTATATTTTAAATAAAATTTAAGAATGTATTTATAATTTATTGTAATAAAAAAAATAAAGATAAAAGGTGTAGAGTTCCTATCTATCATCTCATCTACAATTACAGAGGCCCTTGCCACCACCTCTAGAGTCTGGTCACCAACGTCGAACCACCTCTAAATTTATCCCCAAAAACAAAAAGGAAAAAAGAAAAAAAAAATGATCCCTGTAACCTCCTCAATCATTCTCTCTCTTCTCCTCTCTCTACTCTTCACCCCTTCGGCCTCCGAGGTTTCCATTTCTGTATCACCACAAACCCTCTCCAAATCAGGCGACCCAGTCACAATCCAATGGTCCGGCGTTGATTCTCCCTCAAAGCTCGACTGGCTCGGCATCTACTCACCCCCCAACTCCTCCTCCTCCGACTTCATCGGCTACCTCTTCCTCTCCACATCCCCAACCTGGCAATCCGGGTCGGGTTCCACCACCATCCCCTTAGTCAACCTCCGATCCAACTACCACTTCCGGATCTTCCGATGGACCGAGTCGGAGATCAACCCCAAGCGCCGGGACCACGACAACAACCCCTTGCCTGGCACCAAGCACCTCCTGGCACAGTCCGCCGAGCTCGGGTTCGAACCGGGTCGGGGGCCCGAACAGGTCCATTTGGCTTTCACGGGTCGCGAGGATGAGATGAGGGTGATGTTTGTGAGCCAAGATGGGAAGGAGATGTTGGTGAAGTATGGGTTGAGGGCTGATGCGATGGATCAAAGTGTGGGAACGCGGGTGGGTCGGTATGAGAGAGAGGACATGTGTGATGCACCTGCCAATCAGAGTGTTGGGTGGAGAGATCCTGGGTACATTCATGATGGGGTCATCACCAATTTGAAGAAAGGAAAGAGGTATTATTACAAGGTAATTTGTTGTTGTTGCATTAATTTGATCTATTGGTAGGTATGTATTTATTACTTATTATTACTAGTGTTGTTGAAGTATTTGGATTGATGATTCCATTGAAATCTTGTTTATTGGTTTAACAATTGCAAGGCAATTTGGGTTGGTGAATTCTTCCCATGAAAATCCTACTTGTTAGCTATTTTTTATGTTTTATTTTAATTAATCTTTGTTCATTTGTCACATCTTGGATCACTCAACATTAGGTTGGTTATCAGATCAAATCAGTAGCTTGTGAAGTTTTTATTTTTTTCTTAGGGAAAAGAGTAAAGACTATGTGCACTTTATAACTAAAAAAAAATTGCATAACCTCATATTTTCTGAACTTTCTGAGTCGTAACCAGTGTTATTAAAAGTGATAAGCGCACCAAGGCGCCAAGGTCTCCTGAGGCCTTAGCGCAAGGCAAGGCGCTCCCTTCATCGAATTAAGGCGCACCATGGCAAGTTGAAATAATATAATTTAATATGAGACATATAAGCAAATAACTAACTAGTATAATATAAACAAAATGAAATATTAAACATTTTAAAAAATAAATACCAACAAATATCGCTATTTTAACATAGACGAATGAGTATAAGCATGCATTTCAAAACATAAAGCACGACTATCCATGATCTAAAGGTCAACTAATAACAATATTTTAAGTTTAAGCATGCATTTCAAAACATCAACAAATTAAACCAATAAAACATAAAGCCTTTGCTTTCATTTATCCAATGAGGATCTAACAATCATCATCATCCTCAATATCAATAGCATGCAATTCATAATCTTCCTCTTCGTCATTGGATTTGTATCCTTCTACTTTTTCCTTTTGTCTTCTCTGAATCTGCCTCTTCCTCATCTATCAATTGACGTGCATTTGATGATCTAGAACCCCTGGCCTTGCCCTCGACACTGATGGTGTCTTTGAAGTTGTCCATCTAGTTCGCTTGTTTCTTTCCCGAACTCTAGAAGCTCTAGCAACATCACCCTATGTCAAACTTTCATCATCAAACACATTATTGTTATCTTCATCCTCTTCTCCATCCATCTTCCCAACCAACCACTCATTGCTTTCATCAATATTTGTTAAAGTGATGGGATCAAGTGTGTCACGCATATCATATCGACGTCTTAATTGTCTATTGTACTTAATAAATGCCAAAACAGTCAGACGTCGTTGTTCCAACCTATTTCTTTTTTTGTTGTGCAGCTACAAGAATAAGAGAATGTATTAAAATTTACTACATGAGAAGAAAAAAAGGAAAAAAAGAAAAAACGAAGGAATTCACCAAACTTGAGGTAGATGCTCACATGCTCAAATACACTCCAATTTCTTTCACAACCAGGTGCACTACAGGTTAAGCTAAGAATTTTTATGGCAAACTTTTGCAAATTTGGGGCTGAAGAACCATATGCAGACTACCAATCAGCTGTGAATTGCAACTAATTTTAGCACAACTAGAAACTTTTGATTTAATCTAGAGGCATGGAAAAGTTAATGGTGTAAAATGGATTACCTAGTGCCCTTGCCATTCTCTGCCTAATTGCTAGTGGCATCGCAAAGAGACCTTCAGATTTTGTATAAATGCTCATCTCTTGAGTGATTTTATCTTGAATGTCAGTGCCTCGAACCAACCTTGACACACGCTTATACAACCCTGACGTGATTTCAGTATCATGCTCAATACTTGGATTAGCATAGAAGAACTCCGGATTAAAAAAATGGCCAGCTGCATGAAGAGGTTGATGTAATTGGATATTCCACCTATTGTCAATGATTTCAAAGATGTTTTTGTATTTTTCTTTTTCATTAAATGACTTTGCAATACTTTCTTTAGCCCGATTCATAGCCTCATAAATGTATCCCATAGCAGGCTTTTCTCAGAATCAACCAACCTGAGCACGTGCACAAGTGGACCTTAAGAGCATATTCCAAGATGATGGCATCAACATAATCTGTGTTGCTTGTTTACCCTTTGGCTTGTTTGCCCATTTGGAGCTTGTCCAGTCCTCCGAAGTGAACATCTTTCTCAAGTTGTTTTTTGGTTGATGAATCCTAGATAGAGTGAGAAAGGCTGTTGCAAATCTTGTCTTTGTAGGCTTGACCAAATTCTTTAACTGTGTAAACACCCTCATCATATTCAACACACCTAGATGGTTATAAATATAACCGTGTACCCGAATAGTGCTGTCAAATGTCTTCTTCATGTGTGGCAATTTGAAAATATCTTCCAGTATCAAATCCAAGCAGTGAGCACATGGTATCCAAAAGAGGTGTGGTCTCTTTGCCTCCAAAAACTTACCTATTAAAATTATAGAAACAAAACACAGAAGATTATTTAATGACAACTAAACTAACTAACTAACTAACTAACTAACTAGTAAGTACATATTTTATAAGAATCAAGACAAGATTCTTACCAGCCAACACATTAGCTGAGGCACTACTTGTGATAATTTGGACTACATTAACTTCTCCAACATCATCCACAAACTTATCAAGTAGTTCGAAGAGTTTTTGCCCATCCTTTGAATAGCGTGAAGCATCGATGGACTCAACAAACATAGTTTCTCTAGGACAATTGACTAAAAACTCAATCAAAGTCCTCCCATTTTGTGAAGTCTATCCATCTGACATCAAGGAACACCCATATTTCACCCATTCCTCTTTATGAATCTTCATCAACTCATTTGTATGATTCAACTCTTTCTTCAGATATGGAACCCGCACTTCATGGAAACTAGGAGGTTTCATACTAGGACCATACTGTCTAATAACTTCAATCATTGGTCCAAAGCTGTCATAACTGACTGCATTAGAAGCCATACTTGCATCATACATCCACCTTGTGATTCTTATCATTGCTCGGTCTCTTAATTCTTTCTTGTAAGGATCATTGTGATCAATTGTTTTTTGTTTTCCTTTTCTATTTTGCACCACAAAATCAGGATTGGGAGTGTAGAATACATCCATGGGCCCCTTTGTCTTCAACCTTTTTGATCCAGCAAAAGAACTATTTTGATTGCTTGGCAATGATTTACCACTTGGTCCACAAGGCCGATGAATCTCAAAAGCAATGTTATCTTCATCCTCTTCAAGATCATTGTTCATCTCATCAAAATGAGGCAACAAGTTGATTTGCACTTTTTGTGTTTTCTTGTTTCCCATGTACTCTTTTATCTCTTCCCGTACATCAGGTGGACATTTTTGACAAGCTGTGACATACCTTGAACTTCCAACAAGATGTTTGACTCTATAAACCCCCCCATTAGATACTTTACTACAAAAATTACACTTGAATTGATTTAGGTTCTTAGGATCTAATTGATGTGCATATTTCTATGCAGGATCTTTTCTTGTACTTTTAGATGCCATCTAAATCATAAGAGTAGAGAAGAAATAGAGCAATTCATAATAAATATTTGATAGCAGACCAGAGAAGGCAAAAAAAGAAAAAAGAAAAAAAAAGGAGAGAGAGAGAAGAAGAAAAGCAAAAGAGCAGAAAATAAAAGAAAAAGAAGGCGGCGGCATATAGGTATAAGCAGAAAAGAAGGGACGAAGAAGAAGAAGAGTGACGAGGAGAAGAATAGATGAAGAAGAAGAAGACGAAGAAGAAGAAGACTGGCAAACAAACATACGAAGAGAACAGACGGAGAGAAGGGGAAGAAGAGATGAAGAAACAAAGAGAAGAACATACCTGCACATCCTGGGCTAGAAGACGACCGACGCCTGCACTGGAAGACGACTGGAAGAGAAGAATTTCCTTGGAGATTTGGATTAGGGCTTGGTGTTTCTTCTGTCGTCTGATTTGGGGCTAAATTGACAAGTATATTTGAAAGAAATGATCTGCTGTAGCTGATCCATGAAATCTTGGTGGTCCAATTCGAATTAAAAATAAAAAAAAAGCCCTCAAGGCCTGCGCTTTGGGCTTAAATGCGCCTTGCTGAGTCGTGCGCTTTAATCGCGCCTTAGTGAAGTCGCCTCGCCTTGACCACTGCAAGGCGCAGAGGGTGGGCATGGCTGGGCTTTGTGCCTAGGCACTCTTTTAATAACAATGGTCGTAACTAAAAAAAAAAAGTTATAACCAAAGGCATTACCAAAGATCTCAGGAGTCGTAACTAAAATAAGATCATAATTAAAGAAGAAAAATCGGCTATAACTAAAGAACTAAATGGCTTAACTTAGGAGTGCATATGGTAGGAGTTTGTACCGTAGAATTTCCCTTTTTCTTAATATACATTTTTTGTTCAATTGCTTTTTGTTGCTTCCTTTTCCAAATTTTTCCTTAATAATTAATGATTAACCAAGTCTTTTTTATGGTGGCTCAGTGAATATGGGTTTTGTTTAATGATCAAAATGTCTTTATTTAATTACATTTAACTAATAACAATGACATCTACTTTGTTTCAGCATTTGGTACCTTTTTTTCCCCCAATTTGTTTATACTCATAATATTAGAGTTTGATTAGGGTGCAATTTTACTGTCACTTTTTGGAAGTTATCAGACATTATTATTTGAATACAGTAATCTCTTTTAAATAGAGCATTCTTCAATACTTCTGGTTTGTTACATGGTCCAATTTGTTAGGTTCTATAGGTGCATGGAAGATGTGGGTGTTACTCTTCTTTGTTACCAAACTCCCTTTCTCATATCAATTGGCTTTGTCTTTGGTATCTCCTACAGGAAATTAGAGGTTTGTTTTAGCAGTTGTGTTAAGGTTTGTGGTGTCCATTATATGAATATATATAGGCACACATTTATGGAGATATATTTTCAACACTTCAATGATGATTTTTGCTGATGAAGTAGTTTCTCATTCACCTTCTATTCCTTTTTTATTTAGTGAGAAATGATTCATTGTTATGGTTGATAGTTGTCTGGGACCATGTCTTCTTGATTTTATCATGAATAAAAAGATTCAATGTTTTCATGGCTTGTAGAATCCTTCTTTCATGTATTGCATCACCCATAT